GACGTCTCAGGTCCGCTGCTCGAATAGGCCAATTCTCACAGCCATACAACAAAACAGCTCGTACTGTAGCCTGATATCCCTTGAGATTCAGGGATACTTCAGAATGCATGCAGCTGGTGTGCATCAGGGCTTTAAGCAGAGTTAACTAAATTTCGTGATTGGATAGCGGTGAAATACCAGTGTCAACAGTGGTTTTGCAATCTCTGATGATGGTAGTAACTCATGAGTGAATATCATCTGTTTTAAACCAAACTGTTCCTTGCGTTTCCACGCTGTGTGGTTTGGAAACTAAAATCCCATCTCACGCATTCTATGGAAGTCATCATCATCATCATCACTGTCAGAGTAGAGAACCGCGTACTTATCGTACAGCGGTTGTAGCTGCCACAGTTTCGTTCAGCGGTGATCTCAGGAGGTGGATTAGGTAGCTGCGCATTGGAGGTGGGAGCTGATAACTTGGTGCGTAAATGGCAAGAATCTACCGTGTAGCTGGAACAAGCTGATGAGCTCAAAATTTACAGACGAAATACCGGTTCGATAAGGACCGGTACAATGAGCATACGTCCATTTTAAGTAAATTGGAAAAGTTTTGAGACACACTGTCGACAGCATATTTTCTCGGTGATACGAATCTATCTACAACGAAAGTCCACATGCACCTGGACATGTTCGAATGAACCTTCTTTAGGAACTCAAAGTGTTTCCGGTACACCTATTGTGATGCACACTATTTTACCAAGAGTGTTCATGTTGACGGGAGACACGCAGTTGAAGAGTACTGTAGCTGAAAGATTCAGGTGAAATTCGGCTGATCCTTCTTCAGCACCAGCTTGATTTGCAAACAGGTTTGTCTTGTTTTTTGCAACATATCGCAAATTGATGTTCACCTAAGAGACAAACTTGATAGAAATTAGGGGACTGAGCCCGACAGATGGGTTTCAAGAAGAGTGAAACCGGTAGTAGGCCGCGCAAATATTCATTCATTTCATGGTTGGCGTTTAAGCATACGTCAATACGTTGGATATCTTTCCAAATGCGACTGGTTGGTCCACTCAAAGGAATATTGAAAATGAGTGAGATTCAGGTGAATGTTGCCAAGTCTCCCACCAACACCAAGTTAATTTGAAAATATGAAGTGCAGTATGTTTCCTCCCCTAAGATGTGTTTTATCCAAAAAGGGTGCCTTTTTTGTCAACTGGTCCTTTTAGTTGGCGCCAACTAATGAATTAACACTCATTGTGAACACCGCTCATTTTCATCATACCACCCTCTTATTCAGTCATTATATTCTTGCCGTGGAAGTGAAAGTGCGGCTGCCCAGACGCTACCAGTGACAACCATTTTAGAGGCGAACAATTCCCTACCTCTAGATTTTTGTCTTACATCTTGGCCTAAACCTGCAGTTCTGGAGGTCGATATGTATAATCGTGGTCGAATTAGCCATAGTGGCAGACTATTTAAACCCTTCTTCTGTGGATACTGCACACCGTGAGACAGTCCGCCGAAACCAACCAGATTTTACCAAATAATCTTATTGTATTTGGGATTCCTTGATCCCATCCCAAACATTTTGGGCATCTTATCCACTAATCGATGGTAGCGTGGATTTTCTGACTACATTTATTATTGATAGGATAAATCGATGAACAGTGATCGTGAGCAGTGCATCAGAAGAATTACAACGCAAAGCAATTATCGGACAAGCAGAGTTCAATGACATGGTAAAAAAATCGGGTGTTGTCCGATAAAACTCTCGCAGCCATTTTTGTACTGACGTCATTCAAGGTCGGATAAACTTCTGCGCGTCCTGACTCAGTCGCGCGGAAGTCCATCAGATGCCGCACTTTTTTTGTGGATCTGGTACTTTGAAGTGTACACCAATTCCTCTAACCGCATAGTTGGCAAACAGGTAGTTTTGTTGGACTTTTGTGGTATATATATATATATGTATATATATCGTGATTTGCTTGTCCACAATCCAGAGAATAAAAGCTGCAACTAGGGTCACTGCAAATGCTGACCGCAAATTGTTAAGAATATCCGTCAGTGGAACAACAAATGGTGATCTTTCATGAGCCATACTCGGAATACATCACTGATACAGTAGGTCCACTCGCGCTGCCAGAGGAGCCAAATAGAACACAAGATGCGATGGTGATACAGAGTGCCAAGGTCTATGTTCACAAAACTGGACTTGAACAGACATAGAATAGATGTGAAGAGACCACACAAGACTAATGGGGAACCTGAAAGTTCTAAAATTCTGCTAGCAAGAACGGAGAGGTTTCAGAGGTGGTCGTAAAATTGTTTTCCCGGAATAAGGCGAAACTGTATGTCCTGAATATCCGGAAAAACGGAAGGCACGGAATGTTGCTTCGAACAAGCCATGAGAAAATTAAACCCCATCGACGGATTCATGTAGACTTATATACTTCATAGCTTACAGGCGAGGACTATACTACCAGTACACTTGTATTGGCTTAAAAGATCGAGGACGTTCAGGACAATAACATTCAAACTGGAGAAAAGTGTCATACTATAGCCTAGATTTAAGAAAACTCACTTTCTCTTTATCACAACGGTCCGGTATTCCCGCTCAATCGAATGGGCAGTAGTTCCATTAGGAATAGATGTTTAGGGCTGATTGAGGTTAGAAGGTGATTATTTTCCTGGGAATCGATAAGATATTTTACTGCTTGACGAGCTTTTCAATCTGCTCGCTTCGCTTGACAAAACAATTGCATTAAGAGCTCAGGATTAAAGTCAACGGTTGCCTTCCAAACTTTCTTACAGCAATGAATTCTTAACAGGTTCCAAGCGCTATCCAGACGGTTGGGATAAACAGTTGGCTATTTTTGACTTGAATAGCTGCTGTGGTTTTGTCATGCCACTAGAAGCCGCTCATAGAGGCGGTGATTCTGAAATATTCTAATACGGTTGTCCTCTCATGTCTAGCCGAGTGCTATTCACCATTCGTACTAGTGTCCGGTGGATCTTAGTGCAATTCATGAAAACATGAAAACATCGCCACAACGAGACCAGACTGACAAAATATACTTTTTCACAAATTTCGAGGGACGTATCTCGTCCTCTCACTTAGGACAACTTCGACGAAATGGTCTCTGAAAAAAGCCTGAAAAAAGGCCGCTTCATGACTCAGTTGGCATGATATTCGGGATATCAGGGCATGGTTTCCTGAGTCTGTAAGTCGATCAGTTTTTCAGACCACATAACGTGCACCAGAGCGCATTGGTCCCAGCTTTGTTTACTGACGATCAAAAGAATAAGGGAGTGACAGCCACCCTTTAGAGACCACAGTCCACTACCAGCGTCATCCTTCTTTTGGTTTATCAGGTAAGCTTGGTTTTCATCAGCCTCGCGTTCCACTTAAACATCACGTTATACGCAGACGATGTTAACGAGAGACTCAACTAAATTTCTCACGGTATTCTTCAGTCGCCTACAATTTGGCGTTTAAGTCGAGTGTAAGTTTGATGAAATCTAGGGACTACGGCTATCCGATTAACCTTAAGTAGGGAGAGGGCGGTAGCGCGCCGTGAAAGTGTTTCCAGGAACATTATAAATAATTTGTTACTTCGAGAGAAATACTGGCAGTTTTGCCTACCCAAGAGTACTGAGGGTGAGAACACGGACATTCTGAATCCCAATGAAGCGGTCCTTTGATCCCTATGAATCACAACACATCAAGCGAAGTGACGGTAAACACGTGTCAGCAATCTGGTCATCAGCCCGACGTATGCGACCCAACACTGAGCGAAAATCGTTGGTAACTCCAGCTTGTCCAGTATACCGGGAGAATAAGGCCCGTTTGATAACCTTTTCTTAACCTTAAACCGACGAAAACTAGAAAACCACAAGCGAAGGTCGCTGAACCATGATTTAAAGTCAGAACTGCTGAAATTTCTAGGGAAATGATATACTTGGCTCCGTTTTGGTTTTGTTCAACATATTTGGCCTGGCTTTTATACCTGAAAGACGTACTGCACTCTTGGGCTATTCATTTGCCTCCCGGTTGTTTTACATAGAGAATGAAATGCCGGTCGTCCACAATGAAACGAATGAGGCTTTGTTAGGTCTCTCAAAATCCCGGGCCACGAACAACTCAGTTATAAGACACAAGTACTTTTCACGTGGTATTATTCAAGGGGAGGTGAATGATGGATGTCGTTCAGAGCTGATTAAATGAAAGTAAGACCCATTGCCATGTGGACTAGGAATAAGGAGAGACCAGTCTAGTGACTTGTAAATTGCTCAGAAAAACTCGAAAAAATCACTGTGAGGTACTCTCACCGGAAAAAATGCTTTTTACAAATGCATTAAATTTCAGTGCAGTGCTTCATTAGCTGTCTTTCAATGGTTTGAGCAGATGGCTCCGATATTGGAGGCATATTTAAGACTAAATCTTATGTAAAACGAATCTTATTACATCACTATATACCAAAACAAGCTGCCGAATGATCTAGCAAAGCGCTCTTGTGCTTGCTAGTCCAATGTAAGTCTACAGATTTGGGGTTAAGGCGTACATTCACCAAGGCAGCTTTACTCCAATTCTAAGTGAAAACATAGGCTAATCATCTGGAAGTATCAGTCGCACAATGCTCTCCAGCTGTTGTGTTCCAGCTTCTACCTTGTTTACATGACCATTTAGTGCGGCTGAAGGATCTCTGTAGGTTTTAGACATTAGCTGCTCAGAGTAAACCGGACGGTGACGGATCAATGGAGGAACATTCTGAATTTGTGCACAACAGCACAACACATCAACGCAGGCAGAAACCAGTCAAGGTGAGTAGTGCTCTCACAACGAAATAAGAACTTCCAATGGTATGTCGGCTTCAGTAAGAACCTGGCGAGTCATGGAACCGCACTGGACTTACCGCTACCATTTCGGTCAGAAGAGTCAGCAGGAATAGCTGTCGAGTAGACAATGATTCTCCCGCGATTTACCTGTCGGAAACATCTGAAAATGATTTTATCTGCACAGATACACCCCCATTTCAAAACATGCCTCTTATGACGCTTCGAAGTGGATATCCGGTACATTGCTGGAAAGTGTGAAGCCCATTCAAAGAGAAATTATAGGATTGCACAATATTTTACCCGTGGAGTTAAAGTCACTAAAAGCATAGAACTCAAGTGGCGATATTCTTATGGTATAGTAGGGACAATAGGCTGACAAACTAGGTTTAAAGAGGGTGCTTGACCTTCAATAAAGACCTAAATTTTCAAGGAAAATATGGGACTAAATTTGGTTTCCACGAGAGACTCAACTGAATCTCTCGTTTATGATATTCTACAACCGAATGTGCTGCAAACAGACCACCTCATGATTCATAATTTGGGTTCAAGTAGAACATCAAGTTGACGGAAACTCGGGGCTGTGCCTAACTGATGAGCCCCGAGAAGGGGAAACCGATCGTGGGCTTTTAACAACCTTGTGAGCAGTTTCCTTTATGAAAATATACTGCGATATATCAAATATCTTACCAACTGAATCATGAGGCGGCCTGTGTGCAACACATTCAGCTGTAGAGTATCATAAACGAGAGTTCCACTTGAGTCTCTCGTGAAAACCAAATTTATTTGCAAATGAGCGTATTTCTCGAATAACCGACGTTATTTTAACCTAAGAAGACGTGACTTGAATCACAACCCTATATGATTTTGCAAGTGACCGTTGTCCATCTTAGGAGCGGTTGAACAAAATCTCCTTCGAAGGTTAAGTTTAACCTACGAAATGCTGCTCAAGTTTGAAGCTTCTTTATTCACATCATTTTGGGAGTAATCGCATAGTTTCCTTGAGGTTACCTGCGAAATTTCAAGTGTATGACCAAATAACTGTATGATGTATAAGAATCATACGGATGAGCCTAACATCAGTGTAAATATACGCCTGAAATATGAGTTTTTCGAGGCAAAATTAGAAAATAAAAACGTAACCGCGAAAATTAATCAATACTTTGACTGATACGCATCACGCTTACCGAATTTCTCTTATAGGCATATACATACAAAAAGTATTCATGCTATCAACAGCGAAAAAGGCTAGTGGAAATAGCGGTCTTTTGGGTACCTGGTGTGCATACGGTGCAGGACGAACTGAAATGGAAATGAGGTAAGCTAAAAGAATCGATCACCCACCGGAGTGAGAACACACAGGCTCATACCGACTATTAACAAAACTGTTCCGGTCACAATGACGGACACACCTATCACATGAAGGGTCCCACTATTCAAACTCCATTATAGGGCGAGGCATTACTTACCCAGCATCTTCAGTTTGACCGACCGACGGATGGTTACTTTAACAGAACATGAGCACAGGCTGTTCATTCCTAAGTGACTTACGTTAATCCGGGAATGTGTAATAGACCCCAAGAGACTGCACCGAAAATCAATAGTCCAAACCCAAACAGAATGAATGTTGCACCCGAAATGAAAGTAACAGCTGCTTTGTTGACGTGTTTTTTGCGCATATTATTAATCAAGCGTGTTGATCGTGTCTACATCTTTGAGAAGGTACACAAGTCATTTTGAAACACCGATCGATGGATTAGTGGACCGATTCATGTATGCCGTCAGCCTAGGGTGAACACGTGGCATCACGTGTCGCGTATGGGATACGTAGTTGAGTTGGGAAGTCCCTATAGAGGATGTATTCAGTCACAGTGTGTCAACGGATATGCCATACTTTGGTGGTTGAAGGGAACATTTTAGTCGATGAGTACCAGTTGAGCATAAGGGACTATAGAGTGGTAATTCGAGGACAAATTATTTAACGTCACTGGACCAGTTTGCTGAGTTTGATTGATTGTCATCACGTGGGTAAGCTGGCAGATCAGTTTTGCCGAGCCGTCCAACCTCCATTGATGAAGCCGCATTGAAAATTTCACTGAATAACGCAGCCAAACTGGGGTGAAGTTGTCTTTAGTAAAGTAACGCCAATCATTTCAGGTCAGGCCGAAGGTAGCTCAGAGGTTTAGGCGCAAACTTACCGACAGGGGGATCCGTGGTTCGAATTCCACTCTGGCATCTCGACTTCCCCTGTCTAGGCTAAGGAGACCTGACAGCTAAGCACATAAAGGGTCTTACAACAGGAAGATTATCTTCAGTTTTTATCTCAGGCCATAAAATTATGCATCCGCCCGTTCAATAAATAGAGAGAATCGCATGGGCCTCCAATTACGCTCACAATTGTTTAGGAAAACTTATCTCAGGCCATAAAATTATGCATCCGCACGTTCAATAAATAGAGAGAACCGCATGGGTCTCTAATTACGCTCACAATTGTTCAGGAAAACTTGCTTCTTGGATATTTATCTCCCCGAGAAGCTGGTGTGGTGTGCTAATGTCATTAGGTCCGCCACTTTTTATAAGATTTAAGGTCAGTTCTGGTGTTTAAAGTGGTGTCAGACGCCAACTTTCCTGCCGAAACGAATCTGATAAAATTAGTCCAAACCAAATACAAATATCATATTTAAGGGCGGGATCTCTAGCTATCGCAGAACTTTCGCGACTGTGTACGCTTCTGAGGACGTTATGCGGAAGCTGTGCTCTCATGTTCGTGCTTTTTCTCCAGCTGACGCGCACTATCGACTAGCCGGATTCAGGTGTCACCATACCTCACGTGAATTTTGTCCATACCATTGCAGCAGGTTTATAATTGTATGTTCGTCGGATTGTTCGCTGAGCTGGTCAATTCGATTGCAAACGTTTCATCGTCAATCAAGGTTGTGCCAACCACTAACCCACCGCTACGCACCTCTACGCTCCCCAATAACGCACGCACTGATGATGTCACCTCGATGGGTGATGAAACGTTTGCACTCAAATTGCCCAGCTCAGCTGACAAGGCAACGACCATCTACGCTACCCTAGTTACCAACATTTTCTTCCATTATAATTGTATGTTATAATGGGATGTCTGAATAGATGAATCCACGCTATCCAAAACCATCATTCTTCCGTATTATTTTCGCAGATAAGTGGAAACAATTTTCAGTTTCCTGATGCAAGAGCTGGCCCTCACATCTCCAAATAAACAGGACCCGTTCAAAATTCTCAGCTGTGGGTTTCCACACTGATCAGTACGTCAACGTAAAATGTATATGTTCTCATTCTCCACTAATGGTATAGAGGTGTCTTTTCAAAATCCTAACGAAAGTAACCACGGTGGAAATAAAGCCACGGTTCTAATTGGTTCTGGCCAGATGAGTTTAAGACGCACATGCAAGATCTGCATTGTCTGTCGGTGGTTGACTCAAGGTTGAGCGAAGTGAGATCGATGAAAAACCGTCAGCGCACATAGCACGACAAACTAGTACGTTCTTCTTCCTAGGTTCCCCTGTCGAATTTCGGAAAGCAATCCGTGCACATCAAGCCACATGAACTTAGTGTTCAAACTCACTGTCGAAGTTTGGGCTCCGACCCTATCTTCAGATTCATGAACTATGCACTTGTGTTGTTCGTGACAAAGATGAAACAGTTGTGAAGTGTCCGTGGGGAGCCTTGATTTGCTTTGTTCTACACTTTCCAATGGAATAGTGTTGGGCCGCTTACCAATCGCAAAACCGGATATTTCACTTAAGAAGAGGAAGTCTGCAACAAGCCTTCCTATAATATGTTCTCAGTTGACGAGTGAAACAGTAACAGATCACCTGTTACGAAGGTTGGCGGTATACCCTCTTTGGGTAGCGTGTTGCTTACAAAGCATCAGGGGATCCTAGCTGAGTGATGTAGTTCTAC